CCCTCACCTGTTCCTCTGGGACGCGACCCCTCGTCTTGGGGTCGTCGTGTAATGAGGTCTTGCTCGAGTTTGTTCACAACGGAAATATAATGGTTAACACAACACAGTCCCACGTAGGGGTTCAGAGCTCCAGGTCTCGCTTTGTTCCTCAACAAGAAGCCCCGCTCTTCCCCTGTACTCAGCGGGGTTAAAACCCCTCTTCAAAACCTCCAGGAGTCCTTCAGCCCCCCCTGGGCTCCTCGTGAGCACCTGGCTCCCAACTGCCGCAGCAGTGAGCTCACCACTGGGGCTGTCCCTCTCTTCTAGTCTTTACGGTGGATGGGCCGACCGGGTGCCCGTTGCTCCCGGAGGCCTCGTCCAGTCCTCTGCCACAAAGTGTTGTCCACCCAGCTCCCAACCCCTGTGGGGGCTTACCCTTTCTCCAAACGTACGGCCGTGGCTCCAGACGCCGCGCATCCGCCCTCGCGAGCTCCCGCTGGTGTCCGCTTCCTGGCCAGACTCTTCTGGTTCCGCCGCTCCTCTACCTAGCACCAGCTTCTCTTTTGTACTGGCCCCCCTTATCGGGGCTCCTCGTACCTCCAGCCACCTGAAAAAGGTAGGTTCACGCCCCGTGTCCCAGGTCTGCGAATGGAGGTGTACTGCGCCTGCATCGGGAAAGGGGCTTTCGGAGACCGACGGCTCCTTCTCTCCCTCACAGCCATTTCATTCCGACACTGTTTCAACCAATTTCGAGGTCGAAATAGCAAAATCAGAATGAAACAAAGGCTGTCGAAATAGCCTCGAAACAAAACGAGGGTGGTCGAAATGTTTCGAGAGTTGAAATGTTTCGACTGTAGGCTAGGGATAGGAAGTCAGTCCAGGTGGGCTGACTTCCCATCCCCATACTAGATTGCACCGGAGGTGGGAGGCAGCTCAGTGGGGCTGCTTCCTGATGCCCCCCTCTAGATCACACTGGGCCGGGAGGCAGCCCAGTGGGGCTGCTGCCTGGTGCCCCCCGCTAGATCGCACTAGGGTAGGGAGGAAGCCCAGCAGGGCTTCTTTCCGGTGCCCCATGCTAGATTGCACACTTCTGATTTAGCGCGGGGCCCCAAGAAGCAGCCCAGCTGGGCTGATTTCCCATCCCCAGCAAAACTTGAAACAGTGTCCAAACAGCTTTCTATTTGGACAGAACAGAACGGAATGGCTGTTTTGATTCGAAATGAAATTCGAGACGGAACACTTTTCCTTCGAACCATTGAAACACAAGGCAAAATGGAACAGTGCTGTTTTGCACAGCCCTAGCCCTTGCCTAGTCGGGCTCTCTTTGGGCACTGTCCTCTTCACTCACCTGCCACACCTTGATGTTATTATCTTTTAAGGAAAGGGAGGCTGCCCCAGGGCTTCTCAAGCCTGATTTTACTCTCATGACCACAGGCGTCTGCGGTCATTGCCTTAAGGGCAAATTAAGTAACTCCAACCATCCCTTACATCATATCCATTAGTCACAGATGCTATTATCTCAATTAACTGCCTTCTTGGGCCATGGCCGTAATTCTTGTGACCGGGTCTCCCTTCACAGGCCCTGTGCTTAGTCTCAGCTACTCCCTGGTATGATTTCCAGGCTTGCCTGCTTCTTGCTACAACTTTGCTTCTTGTATTACTCCCAAGCATAGCCTTGCTGTCTGTAGTCCCCACTCAGGAACTTCACCTCTGTAGGATATTTCCAAGCACTGCATCCCACACTATCAGGCTCTTGTCTCTGGGCTCCTTTGCCCTGCCTCTGCCCCTCTCTGGACTATGGCCCACTGGCCCTGATCTCTGGGCTCCTTTGCCCTGTTCCTGGGCTCTGGCCTTGCTCCGGGACCAGCTGAAACCACCTCAACCCACACTCTTTTCACAAGCCTCCAGTGCTACTTACCCCAGCTCAGCTGTTAGCCAGGGGCCTGGCTGCAGCCCTGCTGTTCAGGAGTTCTTCTCTCTGCGGCTCTGAGAGCTAGATGAACTTAAATACTTAAAGCTCAGCCCCTTGCCAGTTAGGAGACCCCCCTGATTGCCACCTAAGACCTCAATACAGCCTCATCTCCTCTTAAAATGACAGGTGCACATTAAGTGTCCTGTCACAAATACTTATCTGTGAACATACATATATTTGATTCCCAACCATGGTGCTGCGCAGGGGCAGATCTGAGGGAGGGTGGGTGGCAGGGCGAGAAGAGGTGCACTGGTCTACTTACATCCTCCTTTGATTCTTGCTTCACTCAAAGTTTAAAACCAACTATCTCAAAGTGGCAGCAGCATTTCTACTCAGGCAGTACTGAAGGAATCACTTGATTTCACGGCTCATCATCTACCTGATCCCTTCTTAGCTCTTCATTCCAAGGGTGTTAACAACTCTCTCTTCTTTTTAATGGTCTTGATGTTCCACCAGTCCAGCTAGCCCTTGTTCTGCCATTCTGCTGTGGTAGCTGTTCCTGGTTATGAGCCTCCTATTTCACAGCCCTGTGGATTTGTTTTTAACTCATTCCAATGACGTCATATTTGTTTCCGCTTCCATCTCAAACTGAATAATGCAGCACTGGGCCCCTAGCCTGTTCATAAAGTTTCTCGTTTCTTTTTAACTGGAGAAAAATGCGTGTTGTGTTATATGTGATGATGCACCTCACTTTCTGCACCCCCATTTTTCAAAACCCTAGAGCCACCCATGAGAATGGATAAGAAGAATCAGAGACAAGTGGAGCTGGAAAGGATCTCTAGAGGGCATGTACCGCTTGCGTGAGTCAGGACCATCCCTATCCAAACCATCCTAGAATCCATCATCTAAACCAGGGGTAGGCAAAATGGCAGCCCTGACCCTCCATGGCCAGGGCTGGTATCTTGCAGCAGTGACAGCATGGTCCAGAGCTGGGGCAGAGCCATAAGCTGCTGTCCGCACGCCTCAGGTAGGAGATTGCGACTCTGCCCCAGTTCCAGACCATGTTGTCACCATTACAAGACCCCGGCCCCAGAGCAGCTCTCAACCAAGTTGTGCACCCGGCTAGTGCTGCTGAGGCTGGTCTTCATGGAAACCCTGGCCTCACGCTGTCATGGCCCACTGCTGCTGGGTCTCCATGGAAATCAGCTGCAGTGACGCAGGCTGGGGCTGCTGGGAAATAGAGTTCACCATGGCCTTGATCTGGCTCACAGGCTGGACTTTGCCCATCCTGATATAAGCTTTACATAAGCCTACAGTCAACCCTGACACAACACCCGAACCTGTCACAGGTAACGCAGGGGAACCAGGGCAGCCAAGAAAGCCAGGCAAAGTTGAAGCACGTTTCCCAGCTCCCAGTATGCCCTGCACTTACAAAGAACATGCTGTGGTGACATTTCTAAAAATGCCTCCAGTCAAATAAGCTTGAGAGAGAGGAGAAAAACGGCAGCCATTTAATATGAAAGGGAAAAGCCCCAGTTAATTACTGAATCTTAACCACATTTCAAAAGGAAGATTTCAAAGCAACTTTTGTGCCTCTTTTCCAGGATGTAGCAGTAGCAGCTCAGAGTGAAAGAGAGCTGATCTTTAGATACGCTTTCTTCTTCCAGAGCGCGGGGACCTGGGGCTCTGCGAGAGATGGAACAGACGGGCAGTATCGGAGTCTCACGACACCTCTGCAGAGTGGGTTGTTGAGGTTGTACTCCATGAATAGCTGGAGCCATGCTGCAGGGAGGGCCCTGGCATGGGTACCCCAGGTCAACTGGGCACCTGAGGGAAACTGCAATCCAATTCCTAGGCTCTTGTTTTGCATGGCATGTGTTGCCCTCAGACCCCCAGGCTTTCCCGCTGGAACCTAGAGAGCCTTCAAACCAGCCTGCCCTGCTATGGGCCAAGCCTGTGGGGATGCTTTCCTCACCTTGATTCACTCCTGTCTCCAAGCAGAATATCACTGGGCAGTGTCCGCTTGTTCCTTGGACTCATTTGCAGGCCAGCAGGCACTGTCCAGCGTGCTCTGCTCTGTGTCCCCACTTCGCACACTTATTTTGCACCTCTACCCTGCACTCCCATCCCTGCTTTTCATTCTTTGTCCCACAAACTCTGTTGTCCCCTTTTCCTGTAGCCTCCCAGCCTAAGGGAGGCCAACAAGTGACTTAGTGGTAGCACCCTGGGGAGAAAGTTCAAAGCCCGCAACAACCGTCTATCCTTGCCCTGCGCACAGATCTGGGGGGCGCACGTGTTGTCCTGGGAGTCCCCATCTCTGCCCCAAATAAGCTGCTCACACCTGGATAGCACCTGTCAACGCCCCTTCCCTTCAGTGCCCAAGGCGGTCGCCCCGCTCGCCCCCCTTGCTACGGCACTGCTTAGCGGGGTAGCCTCGGGCGTTATTTTAAAGGTGGACAAAGTGCGCAGCGAACCCGGCTCTTGGGGTTATGTCTCTGGAGTCCAGAAAGAAAGGAGGGCTGAGAGCGGGCACTTTCTGAGGGGGGAGGGAGGGCTGCCCGGCCCGACCCCTCACGTGGCGGAGGGAGCCGGGCCCGCGCCCCACCTGGCGCCCCTCCCGCAGGCCGCGCAGGGGGGCTGCTCCAGCCCCAGCAGGAAGTGCTGCAGGAGCGAGTCGCAGCTCGGATCCGGGGTGGGGAAGGAGGGAGGCAGGGCCCGCCGCTCGTCCCGCCGCCTCCCCTCCCGCGCCCCCATGGCCTCGCAGCAGGACTCGGCGCCCCGAGGTAAGGGCGCGCCGGGCGCACGTGTGTCCGGGCGCTCCGGCCTGCCACCCGGCTCGGGCCAGGGGCACTGCCGGACTGCACCCCCCGCCACGCCGGGGGAGAGAGGTGTCGGGCAGGTAGCAGCAGGCTCGCCGCGCCGGGGTTTCGCCTTCCCAGCGCGCCGCGCCGCGCCCCGGAGGGTCCCCGGGCGCTTTCTAGCAGCTCCGCTCCCACCAGCTTCGGCCTCCGGCCGCCCTGGGGCCGTGCGGGCAGCACAGGCTGCCCCCAGCCACTGCGCCGGCTTCCCACCCCGCCAGGCTCGCGGGAGGGCCCGAGGGGCCAAACTGGTCTTCTTGTAATGTGTTTGATCTTAACTGGGACTAAAAAAGGTGGGGGTGCTGCACTCCCCCCACTGGGCTTTGCTGCCCGGGTGGGGTCACTTAGCACCGCTGAGCGGCAGCTGGAATCGGTGCCAGGTAAAACTAACTCAAAGCCACTCCCCCCACATCAAGCCAGGTCCTTGAATCGCTGCAGGGGTTGCTTCCTAACACAAATGACTGAAAATTTGAGTGCCTAATTTTAAGAGGGAGATATGTATGTATGTATGTATGTATATGTGTGTATATGTGTGTGTGTGTAAATGTGTATATATATGTACGTGTGTGTGTGGATATGTGTGTGTGTGTGTGTAGATATGTGTATATGTATAGATTTATTTATTTATTTATTTTGCAGCTGTCTAGTTGGTCTAATAAAAGGTATCACCTCTAGCACACTGATTGACTTTTAAGAGTGAATTTGAAAACTTGGATTCCTGGTCAGAGAGTGGCAGAGGTTTAGACAGGTGCCAGCTGAAATGTACATAGAGAAATAAGATACAGGGCTGGCTTCAGCAAAGATCAGAGTATAATGGGAAATACTTCTCTGCGTTTCTTTGTTCCATATTCATATATTGCATTCATCTGCCGTTAGTTGAGCCCTGATCAGAGCCTCATTGTTGATGAGGGCAGTATGTCTCAGGGCTTGGTGTATAAGCACCAAACTGGTGATGACACCAGGCTGGGTGGGGTAATGTGATATGCTGAAGGGTAGGGCTAGGATTCAGAGTGACATTGACAAACTGGAGGATTGGATCAAAAGAAATCTCATGTGGTTCAACAAGGAGAAGTCCAAAGTTCTGCACTTATGATGAAACAATCCCACGCACTGCTGCAGCCTGGGGGCTGACTGCTGGGCAACAGCTCTGCAGAAAAGGACCTGGTGGTTACAGCAGACAATAAGCTGAATATGAGTCAGTGTGCCCTTGTTGCTGTTAGCCCAGCTAACAGCTTACGGGGCTGGGCTGCATAGGAGTGTTGCCAGCAGATTGAAGGAAGTGATTATTCTTTTCTATCAGACACTGGTGATGCCACATCTGTAGTACTGTGTTCAGTTTTGGCCATCCCAGTACAGAAAGGATGTGGGTAAATTGGAGAGAGTCTATCAGGGGGCAGCAAGAATGGTTAGAGGGCTGGGGAATGTGATTTATGAGGAGAGGCTGAGGGAGCTGGACTTATTTAGCTTGGAGAAGAGAAGACTGAGCGGGGGATTCAATAGCAGCCTTCAACTACCTGAAGGGGGGTTCGAAAGAGGATGGAGCTGGACTCTTCTTAGTGGTGGCAGACGACAGAACAAGGAACAATGGTCTTAGGCTGCAGCAAGGGGAAGTTTAGGTTAGTTACTAGGAAAAACTTCCTCATGCGGAGGTTAGTAAAGCACTGGAACAGGTTATCCAGAGAGGTTGTGTAGAATCTCCATCCTAGGGGTTTTTTAATCTGGCTAGACAAAGCCTTGGCTGGGGTGATGTAGCTGGGGACAGTCCTGCTTTGAACAGGAGGTTAAGCTAGATGACCTCCTGAGGTCCCTTACAGCTGTAATTTTCTATGACTCTCTGGTTCTGTACAACAAAAGTTAATTCTGATGCAAATGCATCATATAGTTGGACCAGTGATTTTCAACCACATTAGACACAAGGTACCCTTTGTTAGACACTGGGCAGCCCTCAGAAAATGCTGGCTCTTAGTTTTCACTTGTTTTTTGACTACAGAAAAATAATAGAGCAATTCTGTAACAAAAAACTCAGAAAGACCACAAGAAGTCAAAATAGTTCCTATTCGAAATCTTTGGGTTTAGTTTGTGAATCATGTTTGCACACCTAAGAGTGCTAATGTAGGGCTGCATCCCAGGGAGCCATGGCACCTTGGTTGAGAATCATTGAGTTAAACTAATGCAGACCCTAAGGTGGATAACTTGCATTGTTATAAAGCAGGATTTACAGCAGTGTAGCTTAATTGGGTGATTCAATTTATCCTGTGTAAGTTTCACTGTGCACCAGTGTCATTTGGAGCACATTACAGGAAAGGAGCTATACTTTGGGGTAGAACACTATCTAAGGTTGAGAACTATTTCAAGTTAGATTTTTATAAGTGTTCCAAAATGAATCTGCTTCCTTGGATTGCCTTAATATTTGGGTTGCCAACTAGCAGAGGCATAGCAGGTTTGTTCAGTGTCAGGGACAGCAGGGCGCTGAGGACATACTGACCTCTGTAGATAACAGGGGAAGGGAAGGCTTACTTGCCCAGGCTCTCTGCACACTGAAGACAAGTGCTGCTGCTGCTGCTACTACCAGCTCTGAAGCATTGTCAGCTCTAGTGGCAGCAGCCTGTGGCATGGGCTCCCAGGGATCCACGCTTGGTGCCCTGTTCATTTCCTCCCCAGTCCAGATATGCTACTGGGAGCAGGGCTGCACCTGCTATGGCCAAGGCTCCCCAGGTGGGAGGAGGAGCACCGTTCCACTTGTCCTCCTGCCCCCAGATACACTGTTGTGTATAGGACTGTGCTGCCCAGCTCCTATGCTGGGGGCAAAGACTCCTAGGGAGGGGTACTCTGGCATCCCCTAGCAGTCAGCATCCTGCTTGTCACCCTCCCTACTTATGCTACTGCCAGCTAGGTTTCATCTTCCAAATTTGGATCATGCAAGGCATTCCAGAGATACAGCTCCTAACTCCTTACTCTCCCCCATCCCTCAGTCTTTTCTTCAGGTATACTGATTCTGCCAACATTTTTTACCCACCATGGAAGAACCAACTATGGATTAGTTTGGCACCAATATCAAAAAACCTTGATATTTGCCCACCATAGTTGTGTCTGCCACTAAACCTTTGGGGAAGGAATAGGGGACATAATATTCAACAGTGAGTGAAGCTGTACAGATAGAAGCTAAATACTCCTACACAAAATATGCAAAACTGCACAACCATAGACAGAGGTCTGCACCTTCTATATTCACATGATCTGGCTGGCTCAAAGGGACTTGCAGTACTTACTGAACCTGACCTATACTCAGTCATTGTCAGTTTAAATCTGACTGTGGACAGAAATTTGAACCCCCCCCTAAAAAGATAGACACATTGCCACATATGTCCTTTTTCAAAGTGGGTTGGGAGTTGAGTTGGCATTTGGGCTTCAAGAGAACAACGTTATAAAAATTACAGAATTCCTTAGTGAGGTAGCTAGAGTATGACATCCTATGGCTTATCTTACACTGTGGATCAGACCAGACCTCTGGTCCCTTCTGGCATTGATATTTCTGAAATGATCAACGTTTTGCTTTGAGTCAAAATCGGGGCATTCCATGCCAAGTACTTTCTGAAATTTGTAACTTCCCTTCCTTTCCTTTTAATCGTAGATTTCCAACTATACAAAATGGCTTGTACAATATCTTGTGAAAATCTTTATTTCTAGTTAAATGCTGTAGTTCAACAAAAGTAACAGAAGGGAAACTGAGGTATAGGACGGAAGAAAAGTTTTCAGATGAGACTTAAAATGACTGGAGCAATGTGCCAGAAATATATTAAGTGTCTAATTTTCAGTTAATTCATCCATACACATGAGAAGGGGAAAGCAAAGGTGACTCAAAGCTATTTTTGTGTCCCCTGTATTCTGGGTCTACCATTGTAAAATATAACGACTGTGGATCTACTACAATTTGCTTGCTGCTTTGTAGGGTCCTTGTGAACGTTGTGATGCAAAGAATAACTGTATTGCAATGGGCCATATCCTCGACAGCCCTTCTTCCAGCCATACCATACCAGATGGTTTGTCCCACGAACCTTTCAGGGGTCCATTTTATGGAATAAGCCTCCTTTTACTTTGCCAGGGCAGCATAATGAAACCAAAATCTAAGTCAGAGTCAGACCCAAGGATCTACTCCAAACAGGACCTGCCGGTACAATCTCTGGCAATGATGTCTCAAATGATGTATCTCCATAAGCAGCTAGCCTTTGCCGCCTTGCTTGATTAGGGTGGTCCAACACATCTAGCCCCATGGACCAGATGGGAGGCAGGGCTAGTCTGTGGCTGAACTGGATCCACAAACTGGCCACACACACTTATACCAGCATACAGGGCCAGCCTGACATGGGAAGCACCAGTCCGGGGTTCATGCATGGAGCCAGCAGAGGGTGTGCGCTGCATGAAGCGCCCATGCCAGATTAGCCCTGCATACTGGCTGCAATGCTTGGGGCTGGTCTTTCAGCCTAATCCAGACTGGCCACAGAGCCAGCATGCAGGCTGGTCTGGTAGGGTGCTGCATGGTGCAGCACATGTACCAGATCCATTCCCTGTGCTGTGTACAGCATGCCAGGTCCAGTCCAACAGGGATGGTCTGTGAGCCCTATCTGGCTCCAGAGCCAGCCTGCAGGGCTGGTCCAGTGTGAGTTCTGCATGTACATGCCACACCAGCTCTGTGTGCCACATGCTGTGCATGGGACTGTGGTCAGTGAGGTCTGAGACCCACACACTGGATCCTAGGGCTTCATGAACTGATTCTGGCCTGTGGGTCGTATCTTTGACAACCCCGCTCTAACTATTTTATCAGAGATGTTATTCAGCATGCAGAGGAGCCTAACAACCTTGGTGTTCTTTTTATATAGTTGATTTGTATGGAACTTTTTGAATAAGGCAAAAAAATAAAAATAAAAACACCAAAGTCCATCCAGTGGAATCATGTTGATACCAATATGGATTCCCCACCGCGTTGAAACTGTTAGATTTACCACACAGATTACTGTTAGCTGAGCTAAAGGCATAATGGGCAGTGGTGTACCTAGAGTGGGGAAACTGGGGAACTGTCCTGGGACCAACCTAAGGGGGGTGTGAAGAAAAGCAGCAGCAGGCCGCAATTACTCATGTAATTGTATTCATGGTGGCAACCAGAAGTTGCTGCTGCCCTTGTACCCAGGGTGCCTGGCAGTTTCCCTACACTGCTAGTAATGGAAGTAATAGGTTGTCATCTTCTGTGTGAAATAGCACTGGAAGAGGAGGTGGCACACACTTTGTCACTGCGTTTCAGAGAGATCTGCAGACATCATGGGAACAGCAAGATGCAGAGATCTTGAGGCTCATCCAGGTTGTGCAGTGAAGTGTGTGGTACTGG